CACACACACACACACACACACACACACACAGAGCCTAGAAGTACTTGTGTGGTTTGCTTCAAGAAAGCTAGTATATAAAACTTTGGATTTAGTCCTGATTTTTTTTAACTGTAACTTATAAGTTGTGCTAGAAAAGGTGTTAGAGTTTATCCGGCATTATGTATAAAGAAACAGAGATCCAAAAAGGTGAAATAACTGGTTCAAAGTCATACATAGGGGTCAACATAGGACTAATAGGCTTTGGACTCCTACTCTAGCATGCTTAGTAGATTAACACATTAAAATATGATTAGTTCTTTGTAATTTTCTTCAGAATTACTAATCACACACTGTATTAAATAATGAACCAACGGTTACAACTTTTAGAATGAATCCCTTGCATAAAGCAGCACTTTACAAAATGTATTCCAGGAGTTAACATGGAAGAAAGGGCAATATAGTAACCCCCCCACCCACTTTTTTTTTAATGAGTATCTTAGGGTATTAAGTCTAGGAAAACAGCCTTGACCACTGACACCTGTAACTCAAAACCTAAGGAATCACGGAGTCGAATTGTCCTGGAATGATATTTCAGTCTTGCTCACTAGGAGGAAAATAATATTTACCCTCTGTATTCCTCAGTAAAGGGATTTATGTGCTGGATCTATGTCAGTGTTTTAGAAGGCCGTCGGCGATGGTTCTGGTAAGGTCCTTTACTTGAGGGATCAATGAAGTTGAAGGTCAGAGCAAGAGAAGAAGGGCAGTTGAGGTCTCTTCCGGATGGGACTGGTTTGACTGTAATAGTGATAGCTAACTTGGAAAGCTCACTTAATAATGTGATAGGTAGAATGAGGTACTTCTCCCACCGTTGGACCTTAACAAGATGTCTGCAGAACACAGCTCGAAGGAGACCGGAGACAGAACCTATTGGATGACCTTGTAACTCGAGAGAGACTACTTCTGGCATCCTTTAAGAACGAGGGTGCAGAACCAGATCTCATCAGGTACGATGTTTTCATTTCCAGGGATTATGTGGTGGGTGAAGGTTTATTTGCAGAGAGTACAGCTGTACTCTGAATGGCCTTGTTCCTTTAACTACCAAAATACATTCTGTTCATTTATAGTGATTGCCTATCATTTTCCATTCAGTTTCGTTTTCATTAATTTTCTAGGTTTAGTGCACTGGGTATATTCTGCGGAATCGCATCTCAGTGGAAGGATATTTAGGTAGACGACAGAGGAAGTTAGAAAATTTCTTTTGCGTTCTTTGGTTGAGCTTTCAGCTATATTAGCTGCTTTTTAAACTCTTGAAATTATGTACTCCTCTGGGAAAATGTTGTTTTTTAATTGGCACGTTGAGAAAATGTGCCCAGTAGACTATAGCTCAGGGAGGCAGAGGTACATGGCAATTGGATTCTTCTCCCTGCTTTTGGCCAGTGAGTGGTTCACACTCTTCGGAGGTGACAGCTGCTCCGTACCCAGCTCTGCTGGAAGACCCAGCTTTCCGAGGTTGAGGTTAATAAACCGTAAATTGTTAACATCTTTCGAATTGGCCTCCCCCTGCCTCCAGAACTCCCTTAACGTTATTGTGGGAACCGTCACAGAAGGAAATACGCTTAGGATAGCAACTCCCTCTCCCCGTCTTCCTCACCAGGGATGATGCTGTCATTGTGGAGAGGCAGCTTGTTCTTGCCTAGATCCTCCTTAGGAGTAACATGGCTTCCCGAGGGCAATGGCTTTGGCCCTTGGCCACACATTATCAGGCTCCGCCTCAGATAACTAGATCGGGGAGCATGGGGAAGGGTGGTCCTAGGTGATTCTGCAGCCAGGATTGCAGACCGCTGCCCTAGGGCAAGCTGAAGAGGGTGAAACAGTTTCCTGTAGTCCCTGCCCTCTCAGGAGCCTGTGACCTAAGGTTTTTAGAAAGAGATTCTAAACGACAGGAAGCTAGATGAGATCTTCCGTCGTTGCTGTGGAGAAATAAAACCAAGGAGTCAGGGAGGAGCCGTGTCCTGGGCAGGGTGTGTAAACAGTGCAGAAGCCTCCAGTGGGCGTGGGTTCAGTATGGTGCCTGGCAGTTCTCTGGTGTAAGTGGTCCCTTGGATACGAGTGAAGTGAGTGGATGAAGGTGGTGATCCAGGGCTGGTGAAATCAAACAGCGGAGCAAGGAGATCCAAGGTGACAAGAGTACCGTCTGTCAAGAAGGGCCTTGACATTGAAGGAAAACGTCTTTTTAGTCCCGAAATTAAATAAAGGCATAGTCAGCAGGTCCGGGAGCAAGTTTCATGGGGGAGTAGGGGCCAAGTAGAGAGGTGATGGTCAGGGGGAGAAACATCTAAATGTACCTTGTAGTGGTGGAGATGGTCATTATGACAAGTAGCAATAGTTACCATTCAAAAAGAGCCTACTATGTGTCAGGCTCTGCTTACTGCTCTTCATTGTGTCATTTCATGATGTAGAAGGGGCCATTGTATTCATTAGATCTTTGTGGTTTTGTTGTGGTTTTGGCCCCCTCTCACTTGTCACCCCTCTTTCCACCTGTGGTAACCTGTGTCCTTGCTGTGTAAAGTGTGGCTTGTATATGAGCAGTGTCAGGGTCATCCGGAAGTGTGTTAAACGTGCGGAATCTCAGACCCCACTCCAGCCTTATGGATTCCGAGTCTGCATTTTAACAAGATCCACAGGTGATTTGAATGTACCTTAAAGTTTGAGAAGTACTGCTTTATATCATTTGTTCTTAATTGTAGCACTTTGCATCAGAATGACACAAGTGGCTTATGAAGAACAAAGAAAGAAGAGAGAAAAGAAAAGAAATACAAGTGTCTCGGCCATACACTTGCAGAGTCTGAATTAGTCTGGCGAGAGGCCTGAGTAGCAGTAATGCTGGGGGACACTCCTCAGGTGATTCTAACAGATGACAGATTAGAACCATTGCGGTCTGTCACAGTATACCAGCAATGAGAGCTAATGGCTTATGGCTTCTGTCTGTTGTGTGTATTCTATGTGCCAGGCACTATGCTGAGCTCTTCATGGGCCTTTGCCCAGGAGATCTTTATAACACCCCATTTTACAGAAGAGAAACTGAAGTTCAAAATGGCCAAGTGACTTGTACAGATTCTAGAACTACTTCATCTCAGAGTTTGGATTTCCTCTAGATCTGTGTATCTTTCGGAAGTGAACTCTTTTTTTTTTTTTTTTAANGCAACTAAAGACACTCACAAAAGAGGACTTCCAGAATTGCTTCAGAAACTGGCAAGAACAATTGGATGAGTGTGTTTGAAGTGAGGGGGAGGATTTTGAGGGGGATTAATGGCAATGTGTCTTACTGTAATAATTTTTTTTAAATTGAAATGTTCACTGTAGTTTTTTATTACATCTCGTACAGATGTATGAATACTGGGGGTGCCAAGGGTGCCAAAAAATGTATACCCATGACTTGTATTCATCCTTTGTTATTGGTATATATTATTGCAATTTTAATACAGTTTTTTTCCTTTCTTAAAATGTGTATACATTGTTTTGGCACCCTCTCTGTATCTGCGGGAGGAATTCCTATTGAAAGTATGTGCCTTTTAAATTTTGGTAGATGTTTTGAAGGCAATCTGGCAGTTGGTTGAAACTGTTGAAGGTTCCCGCCAAGAATGTCTGAGTGCCTGATTCCTATGCTCTTTCCAGAATGCCTCCCGGTTTCCTATCTGATCGGTGCGAATGATATCATATTTCAATTTGCATTTCTTTTACTAATGTAAAACTGAGTGTTTTTTGTTTGACTAGAGTTATTAGTGCTTTTTGTCTGTGCTGTTATGTCTTATGTCTTTTGCCTTTTTTTATTTGCCGCTATCAGTTCGCGACTTGTAATTTTAGTTTGCAGATATTTAAAAATTTTAGCCAGATTTTTCTTTTCCTTCATGGCCTCTAAGCTTTCAGTCTTGACTAGAAAGATTTTTCCTACTCCAAGTTTGTTGAAAAGTTCTACGTCTTCTAATGATACTTTTGTAATTTTGCTTTTTATGTTTAAATCCTTGAGGCAGTTAAATCTGTGCTTAATTGTAATATTGGATTATCGTTCAGTTTACGTTTGTTTGGGTGGTTGGATACTAAAAAAACCATTGGTTGCCAGAGTCAGTTGAGCATAGGATGTAAGACAAGGCCAGTTAGTATTGTGATATAATTAATAGTTTCCCCAATTTAAAATTTCCATTTTATCTTCTGTAATTTATGTTATAGCTTCTGCATTTTTGGTTTTGTTTTCTGAAGAACTTCTTTTAGACAGAAGAAAAACCTTCTGCTTTATTGACGATTTACCACAAATTTGAAACACATCAATATTCTTGTTGCATTGATAGAAGGGCTGATATTTGGCCCTTTGATTAATACAAAGGAAGCACTTAAGCCCACTGTTTCTTAGTTACAGTTACTACTTCATGGCTTCCAAGATGGGTACTTAGTGACTGTAGTCAAGAAAGAAATGGAAAAATGGTGGTAGTGATTTTACTACCGTAGCATTCTGGAATGTTGACAGAATTCATTTATTATTATTTCTTTAATATTTAAAGCCACTAGCACTGCTTAGTTACATTGGTTTGGGAGATTTATGATTTCTCTAACTACTGTCTGTTACTAGGGATATGTTTTTATGGGCTTATTTAGCATTTTACTAGCTAGCCAACGCATTCTATTCAAAATTAGCAAAAAAAGTTGTAGATTCACTAGGCTGCAGTTTTCCCACCCAGGGAATGGTGATGCAATTACTTGATTCTGCCAGTTTCTCAGAATTTTGGGGCCCTGAATGCAGTGTTTGGTATTCCTCTTTT